CCCACGGAGGCCAGGTGGAAGTGCCACTATGCTGCCCATATGCGCAGCGGGTGCCTCCCTGCCGCATTATATCTACTATGGCTGGTAGGCAAGTGGTTAATAATGCAACATTGATGCATTAAAAAAAAAAAAAAAAAATATATATGCACATGTATATATTATTAGATTACTTCCCAAAAATGTCATATATATGAAAAAAACAAAAAAAAAAAATATATAATTTTGTTTGAGGTAGCTATGTGTATCTACCTATGCAGTCACTTAAAAATGTGCTAGAATAATATACCACACTTAGTGGTTATATATGACTTATCAAAGAAAAAAAGAAAAACATATATCTCCCTCCCCCCCCCCCCATCCCGGATGTAGTTTACATAGTAAAAGACCACCTAGGCACTGAGGCCCTCAAATATGAGCATCATGGAGCTGCAGTGTAATTTAACATTATTTCCTGTATTGTATATAAGGCAAAAATAACTTTAAGAGTTTGTTCATCATTCATTGATAAACAGTTCCACTTATGGGTTCTGTTACTGACAATTACACACAGGCATCCCACCAGCAGATTCTCAGTGAATCGGAACTTGCAGTCTTCAAATACGACATGCATAGGATAGTTCCTCATATTTTTAATAAGCCCATTTTTCTTGGTTGTATCTCATTCTCCTCAAGAAGGTGCAGCCAACTGGGCACAGACAGTGGCTCAGTACCTAGGAAAGTAAAAAGGGCTGGCATTTGATCCGGGGGTGAACAACTTAAAGAGGACAAGATGATCCCAGCTGTATAGCGCCCCCTGGGCCCGATTCAGATCCAGGAGAGGTTTCAATCCTCTCAGCATAGCAACTTTAGCCCTTGATAGATTGGACAGGAGTAACCTGAACTCATATTCTACTTGACCCATTTACCATGATACGAAAATTGTGTACTCTGCACAATACGCGTGTGGGTGGCAGAGGGATTGCTGAGTCCTGCAACTCTATGCACCCAATCCAATAGGCTCGTCCGAAGGTCTCTCCCCTTATTCAGAATTGCTGAGGCTGTAGTCTTTAGATTTAGAAATAGCCTCAGGAATACCACATAATCTGACATTGTTTCTCCTGGTTGCATTGAGGTGGCTCTGCTGTAGTTGCTATGCCCAATATCTGCTGCTTGATAGTGTCCACTTCCAGCCTAAAAGCCTTCTTATTCTCTGCTGCCCAGTTATTCATATCAGTTTTAGTAAGGAGGGCTCTTACCATGGATTGAAGCTCCTGGGTTGAAACTGCCAAAGCAGAGTCTGTATGCTCAGCCAACCCCACTTGCAAGGATACAGGCGGCCATGCAGAGGCAATTGTGGGGGAGACATTTTCACCCAAGACTGAAGGGCTTTTATGACATGAGCGTTGCCTGAAACTTCTTTGCGGCCATCTTAGTGGGAGATGGTCTCTGGTACAGTGGGAGCAGGTAATAGCATGGCCAGTGGGGCAATGTATCCCTACAAATCATTCTGGGATGGATTGCAGGCAGTTGTCTTAGACCTCCAATGCCAATAGATTAATTCCCCTGGATTCTTCTCTGAGTGCAGGCAGGGTTACATGGTCAGCACGGACCTCAGAGCTTAGCTCACCTAAACCTGGACACAGCCCCCCTGGAGCTTTTTAAATGTTTAAATGCATTGTGGCACTTTTTTAATACACATATGCACTTTTATTAATATGTGTTTTGACATTTTTGTCATTTTGTAACGCACATTTTGGTGCTTCTTTGAATGCATATTTTGGTGCTTTTTAAAGTGCATTTTGATGTGGTTTTTATGTGCATTTTGGAAAAATGCACACCTGCTAGCCACTTCCGGGGTTCCATTAACAATTAATGGCACTGCAAACACATTTTGCATGAATTTCCAGAATGCACACAAAAACGTGGGTTAAGAAAATGAGCCAAAATACATGTTAAAAAAAACTAACTTATGACTAACTTATGCAAAAGGTACAGTGCCTTGAAAAAGTATTCATACTCCTTGAAATGTCCCACATTTTGTCATGTTGCAACCAGAAACATAAATATATTTTATTGGGATTTTATGCGATAGACCAACACAAAGTGGCACATAATTGTGAAGTAGAAGGAAAATGATAAATGGTTTTCAAATTTTTTTACAAATAAATATCTGAAAAGTGTGGTGTGCATTTGTATTCATCCCCCGAGTCAATACTTTGTAGAACCACATTCCGTGCTGCAATTACAGCTGCAAGACTTTTGGGGAGATTTCTCTACCAGCTTTGCACATTTAGAGAGTGACATTTTTGCCCATTCTTCTTTGAAAAATAGCTCAAGCTCTGTCGGGATGGATGGAGAGTGTCTGTGAACAACAATTTTCAAGTCTTGCCACAGATTCTCAATTGGATTTAGGTAGGACTGGACTTTGGGCCATTCTGACACATGTGAATATGCTTTGATCTAAGCCATTCCATTGTAGCTCTGGCTGTATGTTTAGGGTTGTTGTCCAGCTGGAAGGTGAACCTCCACCCCAGTCTCAATTCTTTTGCAGACTCTAATAGGTTTTCTTCTAAGATTG